TGCCAAACTACTATTGAAGTTGTATGGCAGCTACCAGAAAGAGCCAAGAAATTTGAACGAATTTTCTCAAGTACATCGGCCCTTCTAATATATTTGCTTGTGTGAAATTTCAATACCACAACTTTTATAGTTTCTGAGATATAACCAAACAAATTTTGAAGTTGTATGGCAGCTACCCGAACCGGTACGCCGATCATGTCCAATTTAAATAGGGTTCTGGCACTTATTACAATAAATCATTTGTGAAAATTTGGTGAACTTAGCTAAACTAGTTTTTGAGTTATCGTTGGGACGGACGGACGCACAGACAAAGCTAAATCAACTCAGAATTTGACGCTGATCAAAAACATACACTTGAGTCTATATCTAAGACCGTTATTTCTTAGCGATACAAACGGTAAGGCAAATTTAGTATACTCTTCTAACATAACAACAATGAATCCTTGATCGTAAATTTCACCACTTTTGTTTCTCATTGCAATTTTTCTAATTTTAGTTTCTATTACAAATGATTTTTTAATCGTAAATCAAATAAACGCACAGGAACTTAATAGGAAATTGTTCACATTGTATTTTAAATTAGTTTGCCTAAACAAAAAGTTACACAAGCATTTTGTTCAGGCTAGTTGTTCCTTATAGAAAAAGTTGACAGTACATATTTCCCATATTTATCATGGTTGATGATTTTATGTCTTTAAACGGAAAATAAGGACAGAATCTTTGCTATTTACACAAAATCTTTGTTACAGAAAAAGTGTTTCATTTACCAGAAGTAGCTTGAATAAAAAGAAGGCAAATTAGAATTAGTTATTGATTAGAAATTTGCTTGATTCAAAAGCGAAAAGCTAAAGACCGCTATCCTATACGTACAACTTATGTATAATTTTAGTTACTCTGATGAGAAAGTAAGTTTTTTGCGAATATTTATTTTAATAAGTGGTTGTCAATATTGAAATCATTTGAAACAAACCTTTTGCAGCATTCGATTTTGGCGACGTTATGTTGGCATTAATCTATTAATATTTTTCCAATAATATGGCTATAAATATAAGTTTTTTTAAATAGATTTCTTTTTCTCTATTATAGAGTCTTGCGCATACCTTAACACCGCAAAAACTCGAAAAATTATTTTTGTAGAATTGCAAAATTTAAAAAAAAAATTCTTAATGAAAAGAATAACCTTAAATTTATTGCTTCATTTTGCACCTGAGATTTAAATATTTAGTTTTGTAAATTGTAGATTATTGAACATAGAAATGGAGAAAAACATCTCGTCTCCGACTATCGTGGAGTCCTCCCATATCCCTTTTATACTATCGGGGGCCCAAGAATTCTTACCTTTAAATAATATTTCTTTAATTTAAAACTATTCCAATTAAAATTTTAATTAAATTACATAAGACTTACGAGTTTACACCTACACACAATTGAAATTAGTTTGCAACCATTAAATATAAGTATAATTAACATATATCAGAGGTTAGTTGGAGAAATAAGCTAATATATCCAAATTAATACGTTCTCTCAATTAGGCCTAATTGTGCAAATAAGCTAATATATGTAACTCTGAATTATTTTTCTTAAATATAGCTTCAAGACATTTATATTCTTTAATTCAATTAAAAAATCAGTGAAAAGTTTTAAACGCCTTTATAAACAATTATTTTTTTGTATATTTCTCCTAAAACGGCTTAAGAAAGGACGTGTTTTTGGAACTGTATGAATCAATATCTTTATTCGATTTGATATGAATCAATGTTTTTATATGATTACTAATTATTCTAAACGCTGCCTTATTATATATTAATTCACAAATATTAAAAAAACTCATATATTTTTCGTTATATAACAGAGCCTAAGGATACTCAATGTCATAATAACCGTAAATACTTTCTATATAGCTTTCTTATATATATACAACTACATACTTGTGTTTTATTTGAATATTTTTCGCACCGCCAGTATTTTCCCGTGTTGACCGGAACTGATTGGACATTAAATTAAAATTTAGAAAATCTTTCTCAAATTTTCAATAAATGCATACAAATGTGTTGTCTATAGAAAAATTTTAATTTAAAATAAACATTCAATTTCACAGAATGTTGGTATTTAACTCAAACTTACAATTTACTACCATATTAAATCATATAAGACAATTAGCAAACCCGTATGTTTTCGGATAAATATTTACTAATAAAAATATTTAAAACACGTCAAAAATAAATTAAAAAAATAGGTAAAAATTTATTTTAAAAATTCTTTTGTCTCAAGAAAAAAAAAATTACAAATGAAAAAACAAAAATTCTGAGAAATGAATTTTCTTAATAAAAGAAAAATGACAAAAAAATATTTTGGACGCAAAAATTTTCTTTGTTAAAAATATTTAAGTAGCTATATATATTCACGATTTTGATGCAAATACACTTTAAGACAAAGGTCGTATATTCTTATTACAAATTATAAAACAAGCCCATAGATTCATGAATATTAATTCCAATCTTAAAGAATGGGAGCGTGTAATCGTCATTAGTTTGAAAACTTGATAAAATCATAAAGCTCTTTTAATTATATAACTCTTTCGGAGTTTATCTTTCCAAAACAATCAGTTTAATCAAAGATATTGGTAATAAGAGCTGAATTAAATGCAATTAAAATTCGTGAACGATGGCAAAAATTTTTACGGCGGCACTCCATTATTCTTATAGCTCTCTATTATTTACACATAAATCTAATTGTATATATAGCATTTCATAAGAAATTTTCAGTAAAACTTGTTAGCTCATTCCTTTGCTTCCTATATATATTTTGTTTTTTTTTTCAATAAAATATTAAATCACAACTTCTATATTAAATATGTTAACGCAAAAGTGCTTTTAAGGAGGTAAAACAAAAATATATGTATTTTTGACTGTGTCTATTCATGGATGCATTTATTATAAATTCTCATACTGGCATTAGCCACATCAATTCAGAGTAAATTGAATATCTTCCTTTTTCCTTAGGACCGATTTCTAGCTGAACTAAAGATATCCAAGATTTATTATTCTACATTGCAGTAAAAACATGTACGTAAAGTTTTACTTTACTCGCATTTACTCACTCTGATATTGACAAATGTAATTTAAATGCATTAGCGTTAATTTATAACTCCTCAATCAAAATTCTGGCAAATGCCCTTTCTTTAACAACGTAAAACATTTACATTTGGAGATAGAAGCGACAATTACATAGACCTTTGATTTTCTCCTACACACATATACATATGTACGTTTGTGCATTAGCATTCTGCAGTATTAAATGTATGAATTTGACATTCGCTCTCCAAAAATATTCTTTTAAAATTATTAATAAATATGCTATAATTATACAGCGAATTATAATCTATGCTTATTATATATCATTTACTTGATTAACATTGCAAAAGACACTGTAACAACAGCGCGGGCAAATATAGCTTTTTAATTTTGTTTTTGCCGTCGCTGGATTTTTGACAGTTGAATGATATTCAACTCTATTTTACTTTCAACTTATACTGAGCGTGTTTGATAAAATTCTTGCAAAATGATTTTTCCCACGAAATTTTTACATTCTAAAATAAAATTTTTTCACATGTAATATACTGACAATAAGAAGAGGTTTTACGGAATTGGTTCCATTAATATAATAAAATCAAAGAAAGGATCCAAGAATAAATTACCACAAAATATTTTCGATTCATCATTGAAAACATTTCAATTTGTAATTAATTGGGTTAATTTAGATTTTTGTTAACATTTATTCATACTAATATTGCTAAATTTGATGATTCGATTGGCATTTCGTAAATTGATTTGATGACGGTTTCGTAACGGCGGTTAAAACCCGATATTTTTTTGACAGTTAAACATCATCTCTATTTTGTAGTTGTTTTTTTTTGCTTATTTTCAAAAAATAAGCAAATTTGCTGATTTTCAAAAAAAAAAACTTAGTTTTGGATTGTTGAAATTTTTCGACTGTTAGTCAAAATGCTTTTTTTTTAACACAAGATATACAGAAATAAATTAAATCTTTTCAAAACATTGGAGAAGCAAATGAATATTTACAATTTAACAATTATACCAAATTCAATTTGAGTTAATGAATTTTTTATTCGTGTTGTTCTTGATTATTATTAGTTTTATCAATTACAAAACGGCACAAACGGCAAATATGTAGTTAAATATAAAATGGCATACAGCCCTATCATGAATTCCACCTATAGATTTCTACAAATTACGAACTTAGCTACGACATAAACTATTGAAGAATCACAAACTACTTTCGTATTGATTAAGAAACACCAATGGCAGCACAATTTGTCGAACTATCAAAATTTGTATTTTATTTCAATTGTCAAAATGTTTACTTTTATTTTTTAAAATATTCTTTTGTATGAAAGTTTCTTTCGAAGACTTCTGACATGATTACTCCATTGCAAACATTTAGAGCAGAATTTTAAAAATTCGAAGTTGACAGTATGATATTCGTAATTTTCCGAATTTCAGAGCTATATGTACGAAATTCATAAAATGACTGATAATGTTTTGAGAATAAAAATTATACCGTCGCCCTTTATTATTAATTAGAATAAATATATATTATTATGCCAATAGTTCAATTAAAGATCAAATATCTTCTTTCTATAGTAAACAACAATGAAAATAGAAGAGCTGATAGCACGCAAATTATAGAATTATAGAAAACATTAAACGAAACAAATTTTTTGAAAACTTTCATTACGAAAATTTTAATATTAATAGCCGCATTAGTTTTTTTTGGTGATCGAAATTTTCTACTGTTACCTGAATTGGAGTAAATTCGAAATTTCAAACTATTTAAATACACGCGAATCATATTTTCTATTTAAGGCAGTTTTCAACTTTTCGGAAACATTTATTGTTATATTTAAAGTTGGCATGAAAAATTACAGTATATATATATACTTATTTTGAAAATATTTAAGAAAGAAAAAAGTCACTTACCTTTCAGCAAAATTTTACGATGTATTGATTAAAAAACTAAACAAATTATCCGTTTTCTTTATTGTATATGTACTTTATAACTAAATTTATTATTTTTTTTTTTCAATTTTTCTTAAAATTTTAGGCTATTATTTAAATAGCTTAATTTTTAAAATATATACTTAAGTATTATGTAAGATTGTAAAATATGCTTATTTAATTTTCACAATAATCATTTCACTTTCATTTCATATATGAAATTAATGGGAATAAAAGCAAATTTTTATTTGCACTTTTTAATAATTTCAATTATTTCAATTATTTTTTATAGATAAATCGCATAACTAGTTAGAAAAGAAAAAAAGAATAAAATAAAAAATTAAGTTATATTAGAAAATATTTACATAATTAACACATAATTATTATTATTAATTATTTATAATTGTAAATAATAAGAGAAAAAAGAATGAGTACAATTATTTAAAAAAAAAAAATATAAATTGTTATTATTTGAGTACACTAATTATGTACACTGTGTCACATCACGGCAAATAATTCACTTTATCACAATTCATGATGTAAAAATGTTTAAAGTAAATAAAATTTACAAATTTCAATATTAAAATTAATCCAAACATTTAATAATATTTTCTTTATTTATAATAAACCAAAAAATTTTATTACTGTTATTATTTTGTACAAAAAATTTCTTTTTTCCATGTTGAATTTGTCTTAAAACACACGTGGTTTTCAGAACAACAAAAAACAAAACTGTTATGTTTACATTTTTCATTTTATATTTTTTTTTTTGATATTTTTAACCAAAATAAAAAAGTTAAAATCACATAAATTAGTCACAATTATTTATAATCATAATATATATATATATATATATATATATATGCATATATGTATGTATACAAAAAATGTTTTGTATGTACGTTAGAAAAAAAAAAATTCAACATTAATTTAAAGGTCGACGGAATGAAAAATCCGAATGAAAAATTAAAATAACAAAGAGTAAAATGCAAAAAAGAAAAAAGAAAAATCCAAAAAAAACAAAAGCAACTTAACCAGATAAAAAATGATCTAACGGACTTAGCAACAGATCAAGTGGATCAAATGGAATTAACTCACATATATATATATGGATATATGTGTTTGCTCTAGATTTTTGGATACATATAAATTTTTATAATATTAAGTATATATCTATATATATGTATATATATACATATATATGTTATATTATATAATAATAATCTCTTTTGAAAATTTTATATTATTATATTAAAAAAAAAGAAATTGTGTCATATATATACAAACAAACATATATATATATACAATATATTTTAATATTTCATTTTTAATATTATATATATTCATTATTTTGAATATATTTTACATAATAATTATATTATTTTGTATTTTGCAACAAATCTAAATTTAAGCTCGCAATTGTTATAATAAATTTTAACTTTAAAATTATTTTTTTCTTTTTTTTTGTTTTTTTTAAATAATATTCTACATGAATCCTTTATATATATATCTGCATATAATAAGTAGAATATATTTATTTTATATAAATTTTTTGTTCTTAAGTCCTAGACTTAATAATGATTATGATGATATACAAAATGATGATGATGATGATTATAATGATGATAATAATATGATGATGAAGATAACAACAGTGTACCGAAAATTTTTAAACTTCCTTTCTGTTCTATAAGAATCGTATGTAGGTACTTTTTTTTTTTTTTTTTTGACATATAAAATTCGTTTTAAATCTCTGTCCTTCAATAAATCATTTGAGTATAATATCTCTCTGTCCGTAAGTTAGTGTAGTTAATATTTTTTAAGGTTTTTCTCTCCTTTTTATTTAACAAAAAAAAAAAAAAACAAAAAATAAATCAAAATATTTGCAAATCAAGTTTTTCTTATGTTTATTTTTTTTTTTTCTCGTATTGTTTTTCTATTTTTTATTATATACATATAAATATTTTACACTAATATTAAAACAAAAATTTTGTATATGTTTATAAGTTATATATACGCTTGTATTTACAAAAATATATATATAAAAATTTTATTATATGTATAACATTCGTATAAACACAGTTGTTTTAAGTTCATATGACACACACATGTGCATTAGAATTATTAATAAGAAATTTATTGCATACATTTAGGTGTATTTTAACTGTAAATATTTACAAAATATTCAATTGTGTTTGTATATTCTATTATTTAATATGTTTATATGCAAAAATATATATACGTATATAATATAAAATAAATTATATATACATATTTGTATATGTACACATAGGTACATATATAATTTAAATTGTAAAAATTAAAATACTTGTCGGACAATAAGTCAAGGATCGGAAATTCATTTTCTTTTTCAATTTGCAACTGAAAATAATGTGAAAATATAAAAAAATTATTATTATTTTTTTTTTTGTTTAAATTTATAAATAAATTGTATATTTTTCTCTTTTTATTTCTTTATATATAATATAAATGTTCCATAATATTCATTTAAAATTTTTCCACCTTTTAAAAATTAAATTATGCATTTTTTTCAACATTTAAACAAGAGGGAAAAAATTTTTTTTTTCTTTTAATTATACAAGTACAATTGCCTACAACTTCAATTGGAATTAATAAAATTATTATTAATTTTATTACGTAAGTTAATTTACTCTCTTAAAATTTAATTTTAAATAAAAATTCCCTTAAAAAAATTTCTCTTCAAAATCAATAATATTGAATAAGAATTTCAACTCACTCCAAAATCAAAAAAAAAATTAGTAAATAAATCACTTTTTAATAAAACTTATAAATTTTAATTTATTTATTTTTTTTAATTTTTATTTTAATTTAATTTACGCACCGAAACGAAATCTTAATTATGATTTTAATTATACTTTTTAAATAATTTACGATAAGAAAACAACAAATTTTCTTTCGTTACGAATCATAATAATAATTTCGTACAATACGTATATATATACAGTAATTTTGAAATAGAGCGTTCAAAAATATTTATACCGTAACAAATAATACCGTTATAACGAATTTGTTAGAAACAAATTTCCAACTGATCGAGCTAATAAATAAATTTGTGTCAGTCATAAGAAATTTCTTTTCTGTTTCTCTTGCTTTTTTTTCTATTTATTTTTTTTTTAATTTTTGATTTTTTGTTTTTTTTTTTTTTTAAATAGAACAAGAACATTTTTATTTAATTTATATTATAAATACCTATGTGTATTTCGAATTTAAGATTGTATTAGAGTGTTACTATAGTTGCTGGGTGTGTGTGTGTAGCAGATAAGATTTCAAATATGGTATGTTTTTGTTTGCAATTTCAAATTTATGTGTGTATATGGTTTTTTTTTTTTTGTGTTTTTGTATATGAAAATACAAATACACATTTTATTTAAATGTATTTTGTGTGAAACATACGATATAGACTAGGGAAGTATAGAATATAGGGAAAATTGTATAATATGAAAAACCAAAAAATAATAATTGTACAATATCAAAAATTTCAGTATAGAAACAAAATATACAGTTATATATTACGGATACAAAAAGAAAACAATAATAACATTTTAAGGTCACATCCCCAATTGAGAATGAAAATACTCTATAATTTTTAATACATTTGAATGTAGATTTTTATAGCGATTTAGAAAAAATTTGTATGGGTTAGTGTAAAATATAATAAAATGTTTAACATTTACATATATGAATACATACGTGTATATGCATGTGCATAACATGTATTTGAATAATATGAATTCATATAATGTATTTGTTTTGGGTGCTGTTTTTGCCGCTGCTATTACTGCCATTTATTTTCAATATTTTTTTGTACTCTATGTTACAAATTTTGTTAGATTTTTCTTTGATTTAAATGAAATTTTTTTTTTTTAATTTTCTTTCTTTATGAAATAACAAAATCAAAATAAACTGAATACAAATATAAAAAATAAAATATTCTTATATAAATAAAAATCTAACACATACAAAAATACATTTTAGCATTTTGTTTAATATTACGTGTACCTATACTTATATTTTCCTTTTGTTTGGAAAAAATCATATATTTAGGCACAATACACACACATAAATACTTACATTCCTATGTACATTCATATTTGTATTACAATAGATTTATGTGTGTACATTTTATTATGAAAACCCATTTGTTATATAGACAATAACAATAATAAAACAAAACAATAACAAAAAAAAAAATAATATAGAAGAACAAAAAGTAAACAAAAAAAAAGGGAGGAAATTATAGTGTTTCGACCTCCTGCACTCGACTGTCTATATTCAATCCTTTGTTTTAACAATAAATTTCTTTTTCGAAAAAAAAAATGAATTTTATGTTTGCTCTTCTGAAAATTGCTGTATTTGAGTATTTTGTTTTCTTTTTTAAGTACAAAATAAGTAGTAATGTGTACATAAATATTTATGTATTTATGTACAATATATATATATACATACTGTATATATACATTTATTATTGCAGTTATTACATATATATATTCTATATATTATTTTGTTATTTTCTTCTATAATATACTTAGTAATAATATTTTTCATTTTTATTTCTTATATATTAATATATTATATATGTTCGTTATAAAATATTTATATATAAACATATATATTATTATATATACAATATAAATTTGACGAATCCAAAACTTTGTGAATGATGGGTTTATTCCATTATTTATGAAAATCAGTGCTCTTAATAAAAAGAAAGAAAATATTTATATGTATATACATATATGTTGGGGGGAAAAATGAAATAAAATATTAAAATAATAAAGAAAGATATAAAAATAAAGAAAGTAAAAAAAAATTTAGAAACAGAAGTCAATATATTGCAAAAGTATTTGTCTTTTTCTAATTTAAATATATTGAAATATATTGTACATATAATATATACTATATATTATATACGTATATTTAAATATTATGCATGTGTAAATAAATTTTAATGTACTTTTTATATAAATAAATATACATATAAAAAATATCTTCATTTTTTTTTAGGGATTTTCAGTTATTTTTCTTTTTGTTATATACCATTTCATTATTTTCTATTTTGTTATTTTGCTGGCTGGCAACTTCATTTAAAATATATTAATATGAAGTAGGTAGAGATATAAGTAAACAATATATAT